TCCCCCCCGGGGGGGGGGGGGGTAATTGTTTTGGGTTTGGGGGGGGGTTGGGGGGCCCCCCCCCCCAAACCCCTTGTCCAGGGGGGGTCCCATTTGTTTTAAAGAGGCCGCGCCCAATGAAAGGGGGGGGCCCGCGCCCGGGAGATTTTTTTGTGTTGGCCCGGCCCCCCCCCCCCCCCCCCCCCACCCGGCAGATACGTTCATATTGTTCGTGTTTGTTTGTTTCCCATCAGTTGCGGTACTGGTTGCTGTTGTCGTGGAGATGATGATGTTGGCGCTGGTGCGCGGAGCCTGTAGTCAGCAGGGAGGGAGGAGAAAAGGCGAGGGTTTCCATGAGAAGAACGAAAAAAGTCTCCTCTTCTCTTCTTGTCTTCGGTATGCTGCGACGGCGAGACCGATCCGGACAAATAGGTGAACTGCTGTTCTTCTTCTCCCAACCTTTTGGCGTTCTTCATAATATTTGGTTGCTGGCTTCTCAGCATGGCGACGCTTCGAGAGATGTTGTATTAGAGGCCCTCCAGCAAGCGTTGGTAGCGACGATGGTCTGGTTTTGATTGAGTGGTGATAGTGGTCATCCCCCTTGTCTTTCGTGCGCCCCCTCTGCGGGGCATGTCTTCATTCACACACGCCAAAAAAAACAGCAGATTCTTGTACAATAGCTTCGGTATTTGGCTTGTCAGTCGCTGTACATAAACATTGCTGCGTCGTGTTAGCCTATCGAAGGCTGTACCAGGGCAGAAACCGCGCTAAGTTTTTTTGTAGTGCTTGCTCTGCGGCGAAAGCGCCGGAAACGTGACGCAGAGAGGGCAAAGGGTTAGTAAAGTTAACGGTGGTGGGGAGCGGCGCCAGCAGGCTGGTGCTTCTGGTCCCTAGCCTAGCATGCTACCGGACGGTTTCCGTCGAAGCGATGGTCAGTCAGTCATGCTTACTGTAGTACTATAGATCGCGATGTTTGTGTTTGGTCTCCATTCATTTTGCCACGCACCATCAGCTTCCAGTGCGAGCTGCTGTAGAACATGAATGTCAGAGGTAGGTGTCGGCGAACACCAGGCGGGATTCCACACAATTTCAGCTTTTTTTGCAGGCGCGCTGGTTTTGTCCATCCCGTCATAATGTATGTGATGGGGACTGGAAACTGTGGCGCGTGTGCGGTTTCTTGCATCCTTCCCTTTCCTTCGTTTGAGCCAGCAACGCTTCCACTTCTTCAAGTGCGTTGACCTGAGTGCTCTCCTAATGTACCCAGCGCAAATTTCGCGTGCACAGCGCGGATGATGGTGGCAGTTTATTTCGTCTCCCCATGGGATGAAACTGGCATTGCTGCCCGTGTTTGAAGGCTACGCGGCTGATGTCTCTCCACAGCCAGCCGTGTGGCGGAGAGAATGGAAACGTCGGTGCAGCGTAGCCTCCAAGTTACGCCGAAAGAGGCATGCGGCCTTATGGTTGGCGTATGCAGTCATGCTGTTTGATTTCACATGGATGGAACGTTTCCGGATTTTTTTTTTTTGTGGTGGTCGACCCAGTTCACCAAACAAATCACCACCCGTCCGTGGGACGGCGGTGACAATTTTATTTCTTTCATTTTTTCCGACGACGAGCGGCCTCCAGACGTAGTCCGTCTAAACAGCATTCATTACGTCGTCATCATGCAACAATACACAAAATACATTGATTGGTTCTAGGGGATGATGCGCTCACAGGGGATAGACCACCTCTTATGACGAGACTACAGCGAGCGAGCGGTGGATGGTGCGATGGGGAAGCTCACGTGCTCGTATATGTAGTCTACATACTGTAGTATTCAATGTTATTCGCACCCCCCCCCCCACACACACGTCGAAGGATGGATGGATGCCTAAAAATATTATGCTCATCATCGATTCGGTGGGGGGGTGCTGATGATTCGACAGGCTGTCGAAGTCGTGTGACAGGCTGCATGTAGTCTATGCATGCCTTGTACGAATAACAACTACACCACCAGTACTACATAATTACTAGCGCGGAATACTGGTCCAATTAGTTGATTGTGTAGTGCTAAATATATTTTCTGTAGACTCATGTCTGTCGACATGACAAATTACAAGCAAGTATTCTACCAGTAGGAGGCAAGGACCGACGACGTCGAGTCGTTTGCTGTACACAACAAATTTGTAAGTAATGAAATTAGCTGTGGACTGGCTATGTAGACTATAAGAACGACACCGAGAGATGCAGTGCTTAGTACGTAAGGCACGACAAAACACACATAAATGCACAGTATACGTCACACATGAAACAGCTGCTGCTGGGCAGAGTTACGTACAGCAGTAAGTAGTGGTAGTCGAAATGTGCCGCCATCCCGACGTCGTAGATACCTGGCCAACACACTTTGCCTAATAATATATATAACCAAGGAAGACATCGATCGACCGAAAAACTGCGAAAACACAAAATCAACCACGGCGCCTACAGTACAAAAGCGCCCAGAGACAGCACTATCGTACATGAAGCTCTTCAGATTGCGTACGCGAGTCATCATCCGTGTATACTGTAGATGACAGCGGTGATAAAAGCGAGAAGATCGTCGTAAATTCCACGTTGTCGCTCTCCGACACCACGTTCCAAGGTTGCTCGCGTACGTCCTGTTCTTTTTTTTCTAGGACTCCCTATTTATTATTTATTTCCAGAGGTGTGGGTGTTGTGAGAAGTGAGAGAGAGTTAGCAAGGCACACGCTATACTACATCGCGCAAGCAAGCAGCGACGGAGCGAAGTGAGGAGGTTACCAGGGGGAAGAGGGTACGCCTTGCAAAATCTCGCCGCGCGGTTCCGAGGACGGGAGAGCCAAGCAGGGCACAGCATTCCGATATTCGGCGTGTTTCTCTCGGAGAACAGAGCCCTCTCTGAAAGAGAGAAATAGGGGGGAGGGGCAAAGAGAGAGACAGAAAGAGAGGACGCGAGCAGCAGGGAACATTTCAAAAATCGCCACCAAACACACAGACGCAAGCTGCAGGCCCGGCCCTGGGCAGAGATCGGACGGCAGGGACCACCGGGAGAGCGGGGCAAGGCAGGGTAGGGAGTCTTAGCCCAAAGCTGCGGCTTCTATTGACGAGGCGCTAGCAGCACAAATGTCTGGCGCACAGGGGGGAGAAGGCGCCGGGCCCATAGGGGAGGGCGCACCGAGCGCAAACGGGGACCGGGATTCTGTGGACGATGTGATCGAGAGGTTGCTTTCTGTGCGAGGTGAGCTGGCCGCCGGGGTGTGGTGTGGTGCGTAGGTGGTGCTTGCCTCTCCGTGCTTTCTTTCGGGCTCTCGTAGTGATGATGATGGCTGGACCAGCCAGCGGGTGCTGCCCATCATTTTTCGGGAGACCAAGAAAATCAGACCTCTCCCCGCCCCTCGGGCCTTGTGTCGCGTGGTTGCTGGTGACAAGGATGCCATCACCAAGCAAGCTGGCGACGGTGCGTGCGGGCGGTTTCCCGGCTGTGCCAGCGTGGCATGCCCACCCACGCTCCCTTCTGGCTTTACTCCGGTGCTCTACGTTTCTTTCATCTTCCTCTCTCTCTGTCCTTCTGTCTCGTCTGGAGAAAACGACCACACATTACTCGAAAACGAGAGGGAACACCGCCACATCCGCCAGGCAGCAGCCATGCAGCTCGGCAAGCTTGTAGCCTGGTGCCGAAAGGCCATGTAGCGCCAGAAGAGGCACGTGTGCTAGGCACGCGGGAAAGAGCTATTGATCGCGGCTCCTTCCGTCAATCTCGTTCACCGGACAAGACATAATAATTGTAGCAACCCGCTCGGTCCCGGTCCAAGCATTCGAAAGGGATGATATAAAAATTGTGTGTGTCATCATCTCAAAGGCAAAAATTCGTTGAAATTTTGGTCGGGCCTGAAAAACCTCGCGGGCGGTGTGGATGGAGGGCACTCTGAACCTTCTCGGGACTGGCAGGCCTTTGGTCAGGCATTGGGGACAAGCTTGGCAAGCCTTCTTCTGTCGTGAAGGAGAGATAGGTGTACAGCAGTAGGCATACATGCCATGTATTTTGCCCGAAACACGTGGGGGGTTAATTTTGTGACGGAAAAAGAACGAACGTGGTTCGTTTGCATGGAAAAGGAAACGGCGTGTGTGTGTGCCTTACCGCCGTCTTCTCTCTCTCTCGTCTCCTATCTGAGAAATGTACGTCAATGATTTCGTAAATAGTCTTTATCCTGATGCCGTTTTGCCCCTGCCATTACACGCACGACAGGGCAATGCGAGTAGCGCTGTTGGGGTGTCCGCAACAAACAGAAGTACTGCCATATTTCATCTTCCTTGTCATCTTGTCACCGGGGAAGGGATGTACACCACAACATTTGCCTTCTTGTACTGCTGTACACATAAAAACGTGTGGAATCAAAGCACGACACGCTTCTTTGATCTTGTGTGTATGTCCATGCAGCGTGTTCACTGTCGTCAAGATCAAATTGAAACGCAACGCTCTTGCCTCTGTCCACTACGGCCTTCCCTTTGCTGGTCTACGCACTGATGAAAAGTTTTTCTTATTATTTCTTTTTGATAAAAAATCTGACCGGCAAATATTGGGACAGACGCTATTGTAAGAGGCCGGGAGAAATCCCGTCAGTCACGACACGACGTGTACCGGCATTGTAGAACTTCCTAAAATGCCGGGGGGTTTACTTGCTAACTCCTCATGTTCGTTTCCGCAAAATTCGGGGGATTGAGCAACAACTGTTGTACGTGGGCGTACTGAAGTGGTACATAGATGCCGACGTGTTCAGTCGGTTGTCTTCATACAGTACTACTTACATTGTATACCTTCTGTTTTGTCGGTCCGTTTTTTCAATGTGAAACTTTGGGTGTTCTTCTTGAGGATCCCCCCTCCCCCCCGTCAGCAGCTAGCTACGCATGGAATCAATGGAATAGCCTTTTGTTATCTCTTCCTCTGTGTGTGTGTATGACACTCGCGGCAGTGGCAGGGCAGCAACCTCGAGACGAGGAATGACGACACGATGCCAGCGTGTTTTTCTTTTTCTGTTCTTCGTTGGTCTCGCCTGACACGCAGGCAGCAGACCCCCTCCCGCCCAAGTTTAAATATTTTTCTGCACGAACACAGCAGCACTCACACCTCCTGGGTCCTAACACTGCTGTGGTACATAGCTGTTGGGATACTTGAATGGACATGGCAGCCGTGTATGTGGTTCCCTCCTTTCCCCTCCGCAATTTGGGGTCATTTTCAGCAGGTCAAGATAATTATATTTCGCCCACGCTTTCATTTGTACTGGGGGAGGGATACAGAATGCGTTATCCCTCGCAGCATGGTACGCAAAACGCAACCCCAACGGTTGTTCTCCATGAGTACTGCGGATAATCACGAAAGGGTGCTCGTATGCATACAGTGGAGTGGGCTGGAGGCGTGAAAATTGAGATGAGACAACCTCCCTGTGTCGGGATACTCACGGTGTTACTCATTAAGAAAGTGTTCCATGTGTTCAGTATTACTACAGCAAGCAACCAACTGAAGCAGCCACCCGGCCACCGTTCGAACATGGCAGTTACAGTATCTCGCTTTTCCGCGTAACGACCAAATACATGCACGCGGGTTACCTAACGCCTAGCGTGTTTTGAGCCAACAACAGTCTGCCGTGACGCAGGCGTGGAGCCGCGTGCGTTACCACACCGGGAGAGGCGCGGAGTCTTGGTAGTGTCTTCCACCCCGAGGCTGGACACGCACAGCTCCACCCTCCTATAACGCCGGCCGGCTGTGGTATTCTATATCTTGGCGTTTTGACATGACGGTTGTAGGTGGGCACCAGAATGTCCTCCTCCGCCGACTACTGTCTGTTTTGGGAGGATGTAAGCAGGTGTAGAGCATCGCTCAAGCTGCTTCTATCTGCAAGAGCTGCTACATTTGTCCCAAGGCCGTACGATCTGTTTTGGGCAAGAATGCTTCAGTGGCGGCTGTCCATCGCATCAAGGAGTCGACGCGCCGTCGTGTTCTTTCAGGCAGGGCTTGTCGTCTTTTTGTCTCTGGCGCCGGCACACATGCCGTTGCTCCTCCTGCTGCTGCTGCTGCTGCTGCTGCTGCTACCGGTCCTGGCTGCTATTGTACCACTACCAGTCCTCCCTGGTATTTTCTCGGGTTGTTGGTCCCGAAGGCTGGCCCTGACTGTCGTCGGAGAAGTGTTTTTGCAAGCCACCAGCCAAAGACAGCAGCATGCCTCTTCACGTACCTAACTTGCTGACTGACCCGTGTGCGTTTGCTTGGGATGGCCTGTCTGCTGTCTGTTTTGTCTGTCTCCGGGGAATCTGCGTTTGCACCGGAGTCCTTGGATCTTGGCTAGAGCGTCGCGTGGGACCCACCCGCTGTTGCCCGCCTGTAGAAGGACAAGGCCGCCTCTGCCTGACAGTTACAGTCTGGGGTTTTTCGAGAACAACGGAATGCCTGAATGCCAGCGCAGGCATTCCCTTGAGCATTAAGGAATAATAAAAACACACACAGAAAGACTACCCATTCGAGATATACCCATGAAACAAAAAGGCGGCGTTGAAGTTTCGGATCACAGATGAGAGCTTCACAACCTTGTCCAAGCTAAACTCCCTGTGTCACCCTTATTCAAGACGAAACCTGAGCCGCATCTTGTCTTGAACGCCGTTGGTCCTTCACCCAAGCATCAAGACCGCTACGAAACCGCGACCATTCTTGAAGGCAGCCTCAGGCTTGCAGAAACCCTCCGCTGCCGCTGCTGCCACCGCGTCAAGCTCACATGTCACACTAGGGGGTTGGTGTTGTGCTCGGGGTTGCTACCGGGGCACCGAAAGAAGGTCGCTACCTTGACCGCGATCACAAAGGGCCTCAGATCAGATGGCAATGACATCGAACCTGGTTTGCCACGGAGGGACCCTACTATCGTATCCCTTTTTCTTGTGCTGTTGCGGACAGACGTGTTCTACTGCCGTGTCCGTGTTGGAGTGGCCTATCCATGTACGTGGATACCATTTCGGCTAAATGTAATCCGGTCGCTCGGCGTCGGTTGTGTGGTTGTATGTACCATTTACTAGTATTGCATTGTATTGTTTCATTGCACCCTTTCTCGACCCTCGCTGTCATCTCCTAAATCAGCAACCCTATGGCCTTGCCTCTCTGGCTATAGGGCCACGATCCATAGGAAAAAATACTGGGTTGCTGTGTGGGGTTATACATCGGCGTGTTAGACGATGGGACTCCCAACGCTCTGCCTCCACCATCTAGCCGTGCGCTCTCGAAGTGATTGACCTGACTGACTGGCCGCAAGAAGGCGGCGGAGAGAACCATCAACTGAAAGAAAGTGACCAATATTTTTGCGGGCCAAGATATTGCGGTAGTGCCATGGGGCTTCGCGTGTGTCTTGGCTTTGCGGGTGTGGTGCGATTGCGTTTGCCTCTTCCTCCGCATCGCCACGACTCGCAAATCGATATGACATGTGTTTGTCTTTTTCCCTTGACTTTGGGTGACTGGTTCCTGTGGATATGAATGGTCAATCTAGTACCGTAGGCGAGAGGTGTAGACAGACGTGCGTGCGTGAAGCTCGCCGGAGTCTTGGGTGAATCTCCACGAATGTTGATACGAGAGCGAGCAGCCTGTCACTCGCAGCCTGTCACTCGCAGCCTGTCACTCGATGGCTCGAAGCACGCACGCAACCCATGTATGCATATCACAAATCACCACAACGCCAGTGTAGAGGATCCGTGTACAGTACCACCAGGGTGCCCCCCTCGCCCCCCCCCAGAAAACCAATTTTTGTTCAGGAGCAGGCATGCATTGGCCTTCGCTTGGAATCTTGGCTGTTTTTTTGTTGACTCGTGCTTTCGTTTGTATTCTTGGCTCTTGTCTGACGTTTCTATGTGCGTTTGTTTCTGTCGTGTTGACGCTTTGGCTGGGCTGGACTTGACTGGACTTGACTGGACAGGGGCACGGCCAGGGAAGCAGGTGCAGCTGCTGGAGACGGAGATCAAGATGCTTTGCGTCAAGGCGAGGGATATTTTCATGCAGCAGCCCATCCTCCTGGAGCTTGAGGCGCCCATCAAGATCTGTGGTAAGCGTTACTTGTTGAGCTGCTCCCTCCGAACAACCTCGGTGCGTGCAGCATGGCAACGGCCAGCTAGCTCTATTGAGGTTGTGATGATGCCGTCCGACTGCTGTAACTGCTGCTAGGTTTATATATAATTAGTTGTGTCAATCGTGCGAAGCACACTTCAGCATCCCCGCCGTCCCTCTTTTCGTGGGCTTGCCTTTCTGCGTACATACGTGCCTTTGCCTAGAATTCAAGTCTCTTGTCTGGTGCTACTTTCTCGTACAAGTACACCTGGCAGATTTTCATGTTCATGGCTCCTGCGCTGCAAGACGGTTGTCGTAGCGTCGGTGGCCTTTGTTTTTGACTTGAAGTTAATAAAAGAACATTCCGTCTCTCTTCGTAACTTGCAATACTAAAGTACCGGCTGACTGACGCGGACTCCCTTAGTAGCCATGTAGGTCAATTTAACGTGGTGCATCAAGATTTGCAAGACAGCAACGGAAAAATGACTTCCAAGGTCAAAGTAATCCCAGCTTTCGTGTCTTGCGCTCGGAGCGTTGTGGATAAATGTGCATCTGGATTGAGAACCGGGGTGCTTGATGTGAAGAATCGCTTCCATGGTCCAAACTGACCGACGGTGAGGATAGTCGCGATCAATCCCGCTCTACACAGTTACACGTGGATCTTTTGGCAACATTAGTATTCCCAAAAGCAAGGTGCAGCTGTTGCATGAACAGAGCCGATGTGGGGGCATGGGCAGATGCTAGGTATTGGAGCAAATCCACCTTTGGTTGCTGTGCAGGAGGCATGGTTTTGCATGTTTCATGTTTAGTTCACTGAAGCGTGCCGGAACATGAACTGATGGAATTGACACCATCGGCAGTCCTTGATCTTCTTCCTTCGTTTGTGAATTTTTTAAGAACTCTCTGTCGAAAGGTCGAAAATCACGGTTACGAAAACGAAATAGAAGCTGCATGGTTTGACACGAACGGCGACCGACTCCCGAACGTCGGCAAAATGTCTGCCCCAAGTGCTACCATGGCGCTGTATGTAGATGCCGTCCCGGATAGAAGCGGGTTGCTCTTTTGCCATGCTTTGGCCTTTCTGAGTGCAAGAGTGGAAGAGCTTACGGCCGACAAATCGGCTCGTGATCATGCGGACTTTAGCATGTCCAGGGGACCAAGTACTGCTGTAGCGCGAGAAATAATGAAATATCGAGCCATGACGCCATCAATCAACCACGACCTAATAATGTGGTTTGTTTTTAGAAAGTAAACATAACCTCACAGAAAGACTTAATTGTTCGTTGCCCATATCTGTATGCCATGCAAATCTCAATAGTGGTACCACTGTACGTTGTGCGTTTATGATATCATTCATGCAGCTGTATATTCTTCCGGAATGATGCCTCATCTGTCTGTCCGCAAAGGTCTTCTTCCCCTTGCCGACGCTAGATACCGCTGCTGCTGCTGCCGCCGCTGCTGATTTTATCAATGCCTGTGCGGCTGCTTTGTCTGCTTCCTATTAACCTGCGGTTTTGAAGGTGATATTCATGGGCAGTACTACGACCTGCTGCGGCTGTTCGAGTACGGGGGTTTCCCTCCGGAGGCCAACTATCTTTTCCTGGGGTAAGCAGATGGTCGTTTCCGTTTCACCACGCCATGATGGTGTCTGGTGTCACTGCTGTAGCCTCCTTTCTGCCTCTCGCAACATCCTGTGCGCGTCGTGTTTGGCAGCTTTGGGTGTGGTGTGGTGCAGTTGGCATAATTTAGCATAGCTATGTTCAGCTACCGCGGTTTCCCGCTCCATGGACAATTTAGGCAAGGCACGCGCATACGAGGGTAAGGGGGGTTCGCAGAATTTGTTGGGGGGGGCGGCGAGACTTGCTATTTTGTGTGTGTGTGTGTGTGTGTGTGTGTGTGTATCTCAACTCGACACCCGATCGATAGATGGACACCCGATCGATAGCCGAGTTAGTCGAGGCTGCGATTGTCCCTCGTGCTTGGACAGAGTTGGCTGGGCTGTTGATGGCAGGGTAGGTGGCGTAGAGAAGGAAGGGAGAAGAGTTCTTCGGTGATTGTCGCAGCGGAAAGAAGCAAAAAGAAGCAAAAAGAAGCATGCCATGTCCAAACGGAAGGAAGCACGATTCCCCCAAGACAAGCACCACTCCTGCATACTGTAGCCAGTGTGTCACGACAGGCGCAAGTCGTGCTGCATGTCGGTGTAGATAAATCCCGCTTGCGGTCGTTTTTTTTTCTTTCTGTGCCTGTCTTCTTTTTTTTTATTGTCGTCTCGTTTTGTGTTTTTTTTATTTTAGGGACTACGTTGACCGGGGCAAGCAAAGCCTGGAGACCATCTGCCTGCTGCTAGCCTACAAGATCAAGTACCCGGAGAATTTCTTTGTCCTCCGCGGCAACCACGAGTGTGCTTCTATCAACAGGATCTACGGCTTCTACGACGAATGTGGGTTTTGCTCAATTGAAGTACTCGTCAACAGTTACGTACAACAGTTTGCCACATGTAATTGCTGCTTGCTTACTCGAAAGGCCAAGAGAGATGGACGAGGCGTGAACATGTAATTTTTTTCGCTTTCTTGGCCTGTCATGCCCGCTCTGCTAAAACTTTTGGAGCGTGTGTGTGTGTTTGTTTTGTTGCTGTGGAAGACTACTTGCTGTTTCGCGTTGTGCAGTGGGTATGTTGAGCCGGCTTGACCGAAACTTGTAATGTATTGTATTGTAGCTATGATTCCGCCCTAGACAGAATTGATTCGAGCATTCGGTCCCTGTAAGTCTGCGGGGTTGGTGGGTGCCGTGTGCATGCTGGCTTGTGTCGCATTTTGTCGTCTTGCAAGCGTGAGTTTTTATAGTATCTACTTACGAGACAAGACTACCCTTTCCTTCGTGGTACAGGTACAAAGCCCCGTTCGAAGGCAGGTTGGAAGTCTTGACTCTGTGTAGCATGATGTACTCCGGAGTACCATTTGCAATCAGGATGAGGTAAAGCACCGCTAAAGTAGGAATGAAGCTTTGATGCTTGGATGTGGTGCAAGCCTTAGCTTTGGCGGACGAAAAACGCCGTTCCACACACGTTCTATTGACTAACATTGGTCCATAGCCTGTTGGTTTGCATGTCACCCAGTAGCGTGGTATGGAAACCTTGCTATACTACTATGTTGTTGTATCTGGCCACTGCTGTAGAAACAGTGTGAAGAGGCTCACAGAGTGACGGTAAAGTGCACTCGTTTGTAGACCGGAGAAGATTTGGCGCTTAGTTGGGCGAAAGGTAAGGAACGAGAAGCGGGAATCTTGATGCCGGCAAGAGCCTCGAAGGACCTTGAAGAGATCAAGGGCGTTGACAGATGTAGGGGAGAGAAAAAAGACAGTGAGCAGGAAGGGGCGAGCACCACAGGGGCGAGCCTCCAACCTACCACGGAAAGATGCATACACACGGGCTATTGCAACGTACCAATCACGGTAGCAGTCGGTAAATCCGACCTATATAGCAACACTTCGGGACTGTTCTGAAGGATGCAATGGTCCTATGTACTGTTATGCATACATGTATGTACTCTTCTGCTTCCGGTTCAATTGTGTATAACCCATAGATGTGTACAATGACTCGATCACTGAATCCATACAACGAAGACTTTTCCGGTAATGCTAGTCGAAGGTGATTGGTTGCCTAGGTATTGTTGTTTTCAGCAGTACAAGTTCTAGCGGTTGACGTTGAGTTTTCCAAGACGCTCTTCCCCACCCGACCCGTGATGTTTCGAAACAACAACAAAGATCGATCAATCCCATTCTGCGTCTCGTGACGTCCTGTTCGTGACACGTTGGTTTGTCCAGGCAAGCGCCGGTACAACATCAAGCTCTGGAAAACGTTCACGGACTGCTTCAACTGCCTCCCGGTAGCCGCTATCGTGGACGAAAAGATCTTCTGCATGCACGGCGGCCTCAGCCCGGAGCTCAACGACATGGACCAGATCAAGCGCGTGCTGCGCCCGACGGACGTACCCGACACCGGTGAGGAGAAGGAGGGGGGGGGTTGCTAGTTTTGTGGAGAGATTACGGAAGGGTTGGGGGGGGGGGGGTGCCCTTTTGGGGGAACGGGATTAAAATCGATTAAACGCTAAACAACGGTGGAGGGCAGAGCGGGGGCAGGTTGTCGTTTTCGCCGGTTTTGTAGAGAGATGTATGACGGGTTGGGTGGTGCTGCTTGCCGTTTTGGGGAGTGGGATTAAAATCGATAAAACGCTAAGCAATGGGTAGAGTGAGTCCGTTCCCTTTTTCGGGAGGTACGTTTACTGTAGTACTGCAGCCTGCGGAAAGAGAGTCGGTGGTGTAGCCTGCGGTTCAGTTTCGGCTCCGCCAATAGGGACCCAGACAAGCGCCCAAGGTAACTGAAACGACACAAACCAGACCATCGAACCAACCCCCCTCCCCTTACCCCCCGGACGATTGTCCATCGGTGATCGGTCCTGTGGGAACAATGCTCCGTCCTCCTCTGGAGGACGCGTGGTCAATGGTCTAACCGCTAAGGCATGCGAAACATGAGAGTACGCCCCCGTACCCCCCGGAATGTCGGTCGCTGCTGTGTACATGTCAACGGTAGGTTTGTTGTGTGACCTGCTGTGGTCGGATCCTGACCGCGACATCATCGGGTGGGGAGAGAACGACAGAGGTGTTTCATTCACCTTTGGGGAGGACATCGTCGTTCAGTTCCTCAGGAGACATGATCTAGATCTCATCTGCAGGGCCCACCAGGTATGCGATACAGTAACAACAATTAGACAAAGCGCTGTGTTATTTCTGGCATCGACCGCGCTTCACAGCCGGCTGACCGATGGAAAGACGTCAGTCTCATAGCTCGTAGCGCATGAGTATGCGTGTTTTTCTGACGTATTTTGTTGCTGCAGCTGCCCGCAGCAGATATGTGTGTGTGTTTTTATTATTAGCATTGACCGCACTATCCGGCTGACCAATGAAAAGTCATCAGTCTCAGTTCGGTTGAAAGCACAAAACATTTCTAAAGGCCAATTAACTGGAACCCTGTGAGGGGACAGCATGGGGGAGGCCAAGCTAGTCTCCTGATGAAAGACAGGAACGGTAGCTATCAGAGGAAAACTGCACGCGTCTATACCAAGGCTGCTACCTTGCACTCGAGTTCGTTTTGGAGTGCTTTCACCTTTTTCATTCTCACTATCATTTTGACAGCAATTTTTCGGCAGTTCTTCTCTGGCCCTGCGTCTTTTGTTGTGGTGAAGGTAATCTGGCTCGAAGCTCTTGCTCTCTTCCACGCCATGATTTGTGTATGTGTATTTGTCACCGTTCTGGGCCTTCCGACTATTATAGTGCCTATTGACAACGTGCTTTAGTGCAAGTGCAGCGTCACTCCGGTTCCAGGTAGACGGCGTAGAAGGGCTTATTTCATGGCTTACTTCATTATCTCCCAAATGTGCTTGCCCACGACCTTCCTTGCATTGGCGGTTTGGCGTCTCCTGATGTACAGCCCCTTCCTTTGCGTGTCGATGCTGTCTAACGTGGCAGGATGTGATGTGACCTTGATGTGACTGACAATGGTGTGATGTGGCTTAACCTTAACCTTAACAGGTAGTGGAGGATGGGTACGAGTTCTTTGCGCGGCGCCACCTAGTGACCCTGTTCTCGGCGCCTAACTACTGCGGGGAGTTTGACAACGCTGGGGCCATGATGAGCGTGGACGACACACTCATGTGCTCTTTCCAGGCAAGTTTCTTGCTGTTGATGTGCCGCAAGCATTACGCAACACACATTACTTGATGAAAAACGTGACAGTTGCGAAGGCGCGAAGAGATGGGTTTGAGAAAAAACTTGACCTATACAGTAGAGCAACAGGTGCGAAGTCAAGAGTATTACAACACACCTAAAGCTATAGGTCTATCTAGTCCTCTAGTCGATGTCGGTTTTCCCCGCTAAGAAGAGAAGATAATTAACGATCTTCGTGCTATATAATCTACAGGAAGAGTTTCCTTTTGAGTAGAGAGGGGGGCATGGAGCTAGCGAACCTTTTCTGCTGATAAGCGTTTTTTTTTTTTCAGCAAGCATGTAAAAGTACATTCGTCCGTCTCTCTGGAGTGCAGGTGCCGATGAGGAGCAGCACAGCAGTGCTGTACCCTGAACAGGACCCATTCTCTTGTCTCTCGTGCCATACCTTACCCTGTTCTGTGGTGGACGAGAAACTCCCCCCCCTGCTTCTGTGCATATGTATGCTGCTATTGTGTCGTTTGCGGCGCCGCACAACAGCAGTAGCATTAGCATTAGCATTAGCATTAGTACGAAGAAAGAAGGAAGATGAAAGGTGCCCAGTAAAACCTCTAACGATCGTGCCTGTGTCCCTCCCTCTCTCCTTCTTCCCAATCAAAACGTTGCCACCGACAATTCCGCTCGACGCGGCACCAACCGGCCGACCTTTTGGCCTCAACGGAGCAGATCCTCAAGCCGGCAGAAAAAAGACAACGATTCAATTACGCGGGGGTGAACCAGCAGGGGGGCGGGGCGCCAGGAACGTCACGGCCCGTCACCCCCCCTAGGGGCCCCGTGAACCCCGGCGGGAGGCGCTGACTTTGACCGACTCTCTTGACCGGGGGGGGGAGGGGGGGGTGGG